CAGTTACGTAGAGCTACATTCACACCTGATACAGAGACTACTTGATATCACCTCTGCCTATTGTAGAGATTACTTGGTATCACGTCTCTTATTATGCATATCAGTGATCACAAACAATGGGCAGCATGACTTTGAGAGGCAGTAAGTGAATTTTGCATATTGAACAATTAATGAAACCAAACATTTAGTTAAATAAATGTATTTAACTAAAATGACCAATGTTGAAGTCACTGGAGGGGTTCACACTCTTCTGGTTTTCTCTTTGAGTTTGGTAGAATTGTGCTTCTCCACTCAGTTGAAGATATATACAGAAATTATCTGCCCAAGAAAAAAGATGTCCAAACTGGCATTCTAGGAACATTTAGAAAATGAAACCTCTATGAAATAGGGACAGAAGTTATAAATAGTATACAAGTTTATATGAAGATACAACAGGATGAAATAAAAAAGATGAATGAAGTAAGGAAAGATTAAAGAAAATTAATTCAATTACAAAGTTAAAAGACATGTTAGAGATTTGAAAGTGCAGAATTGATGCTGCAGAAACTGGTATCAAAATGTCAATCCCTTGCATCCCCTTACTGCCTACCACCTCCTATTTTTCCAACTCACTTTCTGTAGAGCTTGTCTCTGATAATCCTTCCCCAACACCCTAACACATAGACTCTATCACCTTTCCCTTGATTTTATCCCTTTTGTTCTAACCATTATACTGCACTATCACATTCATTCATTCATTCATCCATCCATCTATCATCATATAATTACTGAGCTCCTATTATGACCCAGATGTTAGGTTATTCTTAAGGAATTTATTCCATTTTAAAATGAACTTCTGCTCCTCCCAGGGTTTCAACAGATTAAGAAAATCAATAAGAGAAGGACCTTGAAATTTCAGTCTACCCTGGTGCTATCAAGACCAAGCAAACTCTGCGGCCAACAGATTTCTGTGCTCATGATACAAGACCAATGTCTCACTGTATAATTCAAATATTTGGTCTTATTTAAAGCATTGAAAGTATCAGTAGAGTAGGTTAAACATTTATAGGTATACACATATACATGTATTTGTAGAAAATGGAAATTTTCCCAGATCCCTGCAAGGAATATCCAGGGTTACATTCTTCATCTTTGATTGTATCTTCTTTCCATCCCTGCTCTCCACCTGTTTACCAATTACAAAAAGGAAAAAAATATGTATGCGGGGTATTCAAAGAAAATAATTTAGATGAAAAAAAGCAAGGTTTACTTTATTTTACTCAGTCAGCAGCTATTTAGTTAAGACCTACCATTTGCCAAGGCTCTGAGCTACTATATTTTACTAAGTTCTCATAAGGATCTCAAACCCAGTAACAGCTATTTTCAAGCTATTGGAAGGACTTCCTAGTAGTAAACATTCTCATTTGGTGTGGGGACTTTCTCATCCCTAGAGGTGTTTAAGATTAAACTAGATACCCAGATGGCCAACTGGAAATGATATGTATGTTTCTGTTTACAAATGTGTTTGTGTGTGTGTGTGTGTGCATTCTTAGTGACTGAAGATATAGAAATGACTACTTTGGAGACATCTTGAACAAGCACTTATGAAATGGTAATGCCATAATGCTGTCAAAGCTTTTTTCTCTGCTTATCCATGCATTATCAGTGATTTATTTAATAAAACTGAGGACCAAGAAAGACTGAAAATACAGCTTCCAATAGAATGCTCGCCTGCTGTGACTGTTGAAGTGGTAAGTAATTTGCTTTTAATGCTAGCATATACCACTTAGCACCATATTTAACTGAAGGATGAAAATCACTCATTTTTCATCCAGTTGCTTAACTGACACTTAGTGTAATCTATCTATTGTAACTGAGCTTAATACAAGGAATATTTAATAGATATCATGTTAAAATTTACAGCAAGTACTTCAATTTTTAATTCCTTCTTATTTATATTTTTGTTCCATAATATAATTTAATTCAAATGGATAACCTAGGCAATAAGAGCACAGCAGGTACTAACAAACATGATCTAGAAAAATAATATTTATTTAATTTATAGTTATCAATTGTAACCATATTTTATATTGTGTATTATTTCTCTATGAGGAAAGATATCAATGTGAATGACACAAGTGAATGACACAAGTCAATGAATGACTAACTAGAACAGGAATAATTTAGAAAGGAAATTACCAGTGAAATCATTGATAAAATATGCATGTTTATAGATAAAGCAAAGCTTGTTTTACCAGTAGATTCTCGAAAAATTAGTAACATTATAAATTACCCTCAATATACTGATAAAAACTAATGACTGAATTCATAAATCTATATAGTCCTCCAGAATTCTATCTTGAATTTTGAAGTAATACATTGCCATGTGTATAAATATGTGTACACTGCTAAGGGAATATTATCCTCATGTTAACACTCTGTTCTTCATCTATTTACAAAAACCACCCTGTCTCTCCTCATCCATGGAATTATTATTTGCTGTTCATAAAAGTCCACAGAAAATGAGAGAAATTGATTATGAGAAGAAAAATCTCCTTTTTTTCTTTATTTTTCTGTTAAGAACCTAACCATACATATGTATCCAAAACAATATAAATTAAATATGTTATTTCAATGCCAATGTGAAAATGGTATTTACTTCAGGGTTAGGACAGTACCAAATCTTATTTCAGTGTTGGACTGAGTTATAACACTGAGCCCATGAACATTAGAGCAGTCCTCTTTAACAAGAAAGAACTCTTAAAAACACATGTTAATATATCTTTACCCACTACCACACCCACACATAATGTCATGAAAGTGCCAGACTAACTCATGTGTTGAGTCTGTTACTTAATGCTCAGTAAGATAAGTTCAATGGCAAATTTAAAGCAGCAAAAGCAGTAAAATATAGACTTCCATTTTTAAATATGAAACAACTCATTCTTTGTAACAATGTAGTAACAGACTCCTTGGGTTAGGAAATATCGTGTGGCTGTGGGCATCCTGTAGGGGCCAGAAGATACTGCTTTTCTTAATTATGCCCATGCTTCCATCGGGGCCACTAATTCCTGAAGGAAACACAGAAAATGCAAAGTATCAATTGATTACTGATCTCTGTATTTGTTCATTCCATTCATTGTTGTATAGGACATTAAATATGAAGTTTAAGTAAAACTTGGCCTATCAGTTTATTCTTTCATCCAACAAAAATTTACTGAGTAGTTAGTAGTTCAAATAACAGTATTATGTTTGGGAAGCATAATAGTAAATCAGAAAATTATCCGTCACCTCAGAGAACTTCAATTTTAGTGAGGGAAACATAAATAAAAGTGATAGACCTATAAAATTAGAAGGTATTTTTATTAATTCAGTTAAGTGAATGACACCTTAATGACAGAAAAAAATTACCATATTACATATTATAAAATATAGTTGACTATATTTGAATTGTCAACTTGATCTAATAATCTAATGAAATACACTTAAGATGCAGGAATCTACTTATATGTGTGCATGTATTCTTTTTTGGTGTATTTTGTGCGGTCATAGAATTTGTTTTGCTGTATTGGCTCCGCTTTTTATTTTTATTTTGGCCTCCTTCTTTATACTATAAAAGAGAACACAGTAAAGACCTGGCCTAAGCCCTCCACCCCCACTTCCCCTTCACAGCATCTTTAAAACAGCAAACATTTATTGAGCCCCTGAATAGTGCCAGGGTCTGTAGAACTGTCCGTGCATAACTCATGCTCTAAGAGGGAAAGTGGAAGTGTGTATTTAGAATACAAAACCGTTAAGTGAGAGTGGAGGTAAGTATCTGGTGATCAAAGCTGTAAGCACTTACACTTGCAAGAGTGGAGGTGAAGAAGGAAAGAAAAGTCAGTGATAAGGACATTCAAGTGTCATTTTCAAGGAAGAGTCGAGTCGCTTGAGGTCTGCAGGTGTGACAATTGAAGCTATTAAAATATATTTAGAATGTTTATTCATTTCTGGATTTGTTGATATGTATGTGTGTATGTATGTTGATCTGCCTTCCATCATAGTCACAGAGGATGAAAAACATAGACAGAATATGCATATGCTAATGTCTGCCGATGGAAGGAAAGCCTAGTGTAATCCTTAATGCAAATGTCTTATGTTAGACGGAAGATAACATAATAGTTAGACAATGATTAAAACCGGAAATTGAAAAATCACCAGGATTGGAAGTGTTCATGTTTCCTTGTATAGGTATCAATTTTGACTCCTCTAGTAAACACTGATGGTTCATTGTCCATTTGTGATCATAAATCCTACTCCAAACCTTCAGTTGAAAGAAAGGAAAGCAAGGGAATAAAGATTAGAAAAGGATAACACAAAAACTGGAAAAGAAGGTGTGCTATTTTGACCTCTTTAGAGAGAGTTGAGGAATACTCAGGGAACCCAAATCTGAGCCAGCCAGTCTGGGGTAGGTTTTTATCTTAAAATAAAAATCTGTGCTCTGCAAACCAACTCATTTAAGTGACTTGATTTTTTATTATTTAACTTTTCCATTTTCTTCTTGAAGTTCATTCTAGGAAAAGTACGTGAAATTTTCCAGCTACATGAAGAGGAGAATGAGGGGATTTATGTAGACTTGGTGTTAACATTTTCTAGCCACTCCCTTTATTCCCTCCAAGGGAAAGCATACCACCGTAAAAGGACGTGGAAAGTGATATCCTTTCCCTTTTCCGATCCCACAGTAGCCACATAGCTCTTCTCTGCTAACGAAGATTAGCAGGAGTCTTTGCTCTCGGAAAACATACGTGTGGTGAGCATGACTTCTAGCTGTTGTTTCCAATACTGGTTACTGACTTCTAGTACAGTCCATATGACAAGGCAGCGGGTTCTAAAAGAGGTTAGACTTATCCTTTCATCATGATTTGTGTACCACCACGGAGCTTTAAAAAAACAAGAAGACGGAGTAGCACTTGATGGCTCCTTGGATGCACTCACATAGAGCTGAGCTACATATTTAATCAGTGGAAAAATACCTTTTTATTTTAATGGATTCTTCTCATTTCCTTTGATTTAATCTCAGAGTCTCCTAGTGTACCATCCATTTCACTTGTATGCTTCTGAACAGCTGTGACCACTTCACTGGGGACAAACCTTAAGCCACTGATACCACCAAACACCTGAAAAGTAGTGATAAAATGGCACATATTAATCTGCCGCATTTTAAAGAAATATTTAGGCAGCATGAACAAAAGCTGTGATTTTTTCCTGTATTTTTCCCCTGAAAAAAATACAGCTTGGAAATCCCCTGAAATGCCATCTTGTTAACCTTATTCCATAGTTTAACGGAAGCTTACAATTTAGGTTTCATGGTTCAGTTCCATTTCTGGCTTTAACAATAATTTTATAACACTCCAAAAAACATAAATTAAAATGTGTACAGAATCACTAATTTAGAACACAGGGTCATAATTAGCAATTAGAACACATTTTAAAAGTGAGTTACCCTAATTCTACAGAAACCAAAAATGCCAAACTCAAATATTAGAGTAGGATTGTTTTTTTTTCTTTAATGACTTTTGTGTGATGAAATGGATAGAAAACAAAAATTGTCAGGGGAAAACACAGGACGGCATTCCTTTCAGTAGGAACTCATTGTCCCTAGAGAAACTTTGTGTATGTACAAGACTAATTATCTTTGAGCACAACTAGCAAGCATGCCAACATCCTGTTTCACTTGTCACACACAGTTTGAGTTTATTCCTTGGCTGTTTATAATAATCATCAGTTTCACTGACTTCATATGTCTCTCTTACATCTTGAAGGAATTTAACGTTTCCAAGCATTCTGCTGAAGGACTGTTTTCCCCTGAACTTACGGCCTCTTGAACTGAAGGCCATCCTGATGAGAAAGGCAGGAGCCATGTCTACATGTACATTGACTGCATTTCTCTAGATAGCCAAGAAGACATCTGCTTCTCTGACAAGCTCTTCCAGTTACTGAAGCAATTTTCTCTTAGTAGAACTGCTCTTCCATCCCCTAATGGGGCTATAAATCATGCAGTTAGCCAATCAGAAAGTCTTTCACCAGGGGTGGGTAAAGAAAGAGAGAAGTACAGATTGTGATACCAGGGAAAGAAAATCTCCATCCAAAATAACAAGTACTAAGAATGATAAAAGCCTGGATCTAGGCTAGCATATGAAAAAGACACTACCAAGAATGAAGCCAACAAAGAGGAAAATAAGAGAAAAGAGAGAGGAAAGGGAGAGAGATTTGATAGCATCCTTTGAATTCAGCCATTTCATCAGAATACCCATTGTAATTCCCACTTAAGTCAATTAATACTTTTTGTGATTGACAGATATAATAGGATGTTTGACATATAAGCTAAATAAGGTTGAGAAAAATAGATCTTTTTTAACACTCTGATTTTTTCCTATCTCATTGACTCTCTCTTATCAGGTCTTCTTAGGATGCACTTCCTCCACTGTTACCTAAAATTTTGTAGTCACTTTCCATTATTTACTTCCTAACCATGTATTTATTCTTTATTATATGGCTTTCTTTTCACTTCTTTGAAGATGATCTTTAAAAACCCAAGTTTCTTGGAAAACATTCTGTGCCAAACAGCATATATTTAGATGCCTTATTTTCCTTCTTATCAAAACTATCTAAAAATACACATTAGAATCACAATTCTGCAGCTCTATCTGTACTTCTTAGATATCTTCCCTTTATACCCTCATGTGGTAGATCATGCCAATCATTCTCAGAACTTCTGAAATGCACATTCCTAATATCAAATTGGTTGGCACTCAGCCTTCACCAGATTTGGGAATTCTGAAATAACAAGGTCACTCTCTCCTAAGTCTCCTAACATTTACAATCTCTTTGTTGCTGAGAATTGGGTTCAGAGTAACAACTTCAATCACCACTTTATCTTCTAGGAAATGAATTATTGGGATGTTTCCTTACTAAATGGTTCATCTTTATTAATAGGAATTCCTTGAAGAATTATCAGTGTGTGGGTAAGAAGGGATATGTGATTAGGAGTGATTTTTGTGGGCTGGAGATTTTGTGAGAGGAACTTCTCCAGTTATCATCTGAAAATGTTTCTCTACCCACTCACAAGAGCAGAGCCATGGCCCAGCAGCAAGTAGCTTTCTAGGTCACACTGATTCTTCTAATTTGCTTCTACAACTTCAACTATTCCCTTTGTACTCAACAGAGCTGCCACCATAGTATCAAAAATTTGCTTCTAGAAAGTGATTTTTATGTATTTGTGAATGCACATCAAATTAACAAATACACATTGACCTGACAGTTTCAGGGAAGAGGGAATAAAAATATAACTGGCCTTAATTATAATCACTAAGGAAACTTTTTGGTGTCACTTTTGACACCAAAGTGTTGTGCAAGACAAGTCACTTTTCTATTGCTGTAATGCAATTATAAAGTGATCTTAGAATATTTAAAAATTGTTGATTTGTATAGAGTCATTTATTTCAAGTGATTTGTGCTGGAAAAAATAAACTAATAATATTCTAATCATATGTATTATTTTATGGGCTTCACTGATTAGTGGAAAGAAACTAGGAAATAATATGACAAAGAAACTAAGATCTCATGACATACTTACATTTAAGTATTTGAAAATAAACACAAAACAACCCAGTCATGTACCATTTTTCAAAGGCAGCAAATGACCTTGAACTATGATATCCATGTGGGCTCATATTTCAAACATAGCCTTATCACATTGAGTCACAGACAAAATAGCTGTGTGGCTGCAGCCAAAATGATTATCAAGGCATGGGTAACCTTTCTATTCTCTACAATTGTGGCTATATATTTGTTCAGATTTTCTGGAGGGCAATTTGGAGGTACATATATGTACACACACACACACATATATATAGCAAGCACAGATATCTATACTTTTAAATTGTCTATTTTCTGGCCTAGTAATTTCACTGTCAAAATTGAGCTTTAAGTATTAACATGGATCATCAATGAAAATGGTCAAGTAAGGAAATCCGAATTCAACCTCTTCATAAATGTAACAACAACAAAAAAAGTGGGAACAGCTCTTACAATCAACTTTTGTTTCCCAGGAAAACTCGTTCTGGCAAGCTAGGTGGCTGAAGTTGAAGCCTTCAAGGACTTGACCAGCCAGTCAGGAACCCACGGGCTGGTGTTAGATATTTATGATTGCGAAAGAATCGAGAGCAAGCATGGGGTATCTGTGGCACTGCTAAGCAGAATGACTGGCAAAGGATTTCTGCAGAGGCAGATAAGGATCTTTCAGGTCACATGGAGCTAGTGTTTAACAGTGACGCCCGCAGCCATGAGCCGTAAGGCCCGCAGTACGCGTGAGATCCTCTATTTTTGTGTGTTTGAAGCAGGATTGGCCCTCCTTGGTGTAAAGAAGTCCCTGAATTTCTTAGAAATTGTGTGGCTAAAACGAGCCTTAAGAAAAAGATAGGGAATTGTTTTATGATAAGGATAGATATATGCTCAAGTGTGTAATTGGAAAAATTAATTTGACTTCATTTACAATCTCGCTGGTAGAAAGGGTCATACTAAGCTGCCAAAAAAACCTACCCTGATAGAGCTTTAGTGAGAGACCAGTATAAATATAGTAAAAAGGATGAGGAGAAGAAATAATAAAATACTAAGAAGAAATAATAAAATAATAGAACATATCCTGGGTAGTTTTCGATTTAATTTGCCCACTTAACCACAGGACTCATACACGCACAGCGCTGATCCTTGACCACAGCAACACGAGCAAGTTAAACCCGTTATGGCTCTGTAATGAGATGGGATTTTTCCTCACCAGAATTCGGATTGTTACACCTGAAGCTACGGATAAAGAGTCTATTAAAATCAGATTGCAAGTGTAGAGTTCAAAACTAGTACTAGAAATAATATAACACTCTTTGTAAGTAGTCAGTTGAATCAATATTTATTTTAGAGAAAGGAGGTTTTGCATTTTGAAAAAGTAGAGCATCATGTTAATTTCCTCAAGCAGTTAAATGCGATCTGGCGGTGGGATTTGTTCTCTGGGATACAGGGGCAATGGGGCTGGTAATGGCGGCTGTATTGGTTATCACAGCTGTGAAAATTACAAGCCAAAACACACAGTCCTTTCATTTTTACGAAAGTATACTTTACTTGGTGGTAAAATATTCATTGTTCTTAAGATTAAGTATCTGAATACGGCTTCTGAAGGAGCAGATGTCACCTGAAATCTAAACTCCAGTTTGTTTACTGACTGTATTTTATATCCTCTAGAAAATGACACAAAATGACAATAAAATCATTGTAAGTATTCTAAGGGGAATATAAATGCCCTTTGGTTACAGTGTACATATCTTCATACATAATTCCAGTTTATTTTCCCTGGAATTATGTTAAATATGTAAAAAGCCTTTTCTCATGAAGGTAAAAATGCTAGATGTTTCCAAGTTGTGATTTAGCATTAGTGTCAAGATTGTTTCAGAAAATAAGCCACTGTTATGGTTTCATTCCTTTTAAGCATCATTTGGCATATATGTAAGATTTTATACATTAAATAAACTTACATGATGTACCTATTAATGTGAGTTTATTTAAAAATGAATCTCCTATAAAAATAATTTCTAGAATACAAATACAGACAGGGAACTGACACTGAGCGACTGGTTTTTACACTGTTTTATATTATCATTAAATAATTGTTTCTGGTAAGTATAGAAAAATTTGTTTCATTAGCCAAAATGAAATTTTAAAGAAATCAATACACTTATAGGTGGTTATTAGATTAATATTGACACAATTACAAAATGCACCAAAATATTTTCATAATATTTTTGTATATAAATATAAGGAAAATAATTATGTTTAGGATATTTTTAGACTTTCTTTTCATGAGTGAATTAACTTTGACTTTATAAGAGATCAGTATTAGGCAGCCTTGTTAAATGGAGTCAAGGTAAAAATCACAAGGTAGAGCAGAATGGCATATTCTGAAAATGCTCCTCTCAGCATTGACTTTTGGATGCATGGATTTAAGACACATTTATAATGCAAAAACATAAACATTTTTCCAAATTTATAGTAACTTAAGATTAATAAATAAAGAGAAGCATAAAAATATATTTTCACATTTAGGTCAACCTTCAAGATATGGTTTCCA